GAAGCACTGTGATCACTGCCTTTATGTTTCCAACTGCTTATCTCTTTCAGGGACCTACTTGTTGCAACAGTGCTGCCTCATTTACAAGATTGCCATACAATGTCGGCAATGCCTCAAATGACAATACTGAACCATGAAAGCAGCAAATATCATCCATCTTCCTCTGATATATGGAGCATGAAGAGAAAGTTATCCAGCAGCTTCATTACATTTTAGACATTTATCCCTGACAATGTGTTGTATAATTTCAAAACTTGATGTGGAAGTTTACAATTGTTTATTGACATAAATTCCAAAAAGTAAGAATTTGCATTTATCTAGCACTTTTTTTGACCTCTGGAAATCCTAAAACATTTCACAGCTATTACATACTTTTTACATGTGGTAACTATTGCAATTAGGGAAAGTGACAACCAGCAAGTTTGCACACATTTCTTTTAAGCTCATTTGTGGGATGTGGGCGTCGCTGGCTGGCCAGCATTTATTGCCCTTCCTTAGTTGCTCTTGAGAAGGTAATGGTGAGCTGCCTTCTTGAACCACTGCAGTCCACATGTTGTTGGGAGACCACAATGCCGTTAGGGAGGGAATCCAGGGTTTTGAATGAGTGTCAATGAAGGAACGGCGATATATTTCCGAGTCAGGATGGTGAGTGACTTGAAGGGGAACTTAGAGGTGGTGGTGTTCCAGTATATCTGCTGCCCTTGTCCTTCTAGATGGAAGTGGTCGTGGGTTTGGAAGGTGCTGTCTGAGGATCTTTGGTGAATTTCTGCAGTGCATCTTGTAGATAGTACACACTGCTGCTACTGAGGGTCGGTGGTGGAGGGAGTGGATGCTTGTGGATGTAGTGCCAATCAGGTGGGCTGCTCTGTCTTGGATGTTGTCAAGCTTCTTCGTGTTGTTACTTTATTAATTGTTGATAATTGATTTTTAGTGGCTTTGGTGTAATAATCAATGTTTGGTGGGGTACACAAGGAGAAATTTCTTGTTCTTCTTCAACCAGTGCAATGGTATCTTGTACATCATCCTTTGTGTGGGTAGGATTTTGCTTTAAAATTTCTTTGAAAGATGACACCTCCAACAATGCAGCATTCCCTTAGTGTAGGCTGCTATCTCAATGGCGTACTATGTGCTCAAGCCTCTGGAGTGGGGTTTCAGCTCAGAGCCATCTGATTTGGTGCTGTGAGAATATTGAGAGGAAAAGAGGTAGTGAAAGACCTTGGATTGCACATGCATAGGCCCCTGAAGGTTGTATAGATAAGGTGATAAAGTAAACACATGAAATGTTTTCCTTTATTGGAGAAGGCCATAGCTGGAATTTACATACAGTTCTTGTCACTGCATTACCTGAAGGACGTAATTGCTATAGACAGAATACAGAGGAGATGGTGTCACAGCTGGAAAATTGCAGCTACAAAGAAAGATTGGATAGCTAACTGGGTGTCTGTTCAGTCATTGGTCCCTCAAATACATGTAAATATAGCTTGGTTCAAGGAAGAGATGCCTTTGGTTTGTTTGGGTAGAGCCAAACTCCAATGTTTGTTTGTTTCCTCGGTATATTACTGTACAGAACCAAACTGTGTTGGTGACTATATATATATTGAACAAAGTATATTTTAAACTTTAAAAAATGATTAGGGTTGTTTCCTTAGAACAGAGGAGGCTGTGGAGTGATTTGATGGAGGTGTACAAAATTATAAGGTGCTTGGAAAGAGTGGTCAGTGAAGACATATTTTCTTGGATTTAAGGTGATTGGTAAAAGGAGTAGAGAGTACAAGGGGAGGAAAAAACAGCTCCTCCAGAGGATGGAAGGTGGGTGCCTGGAATTCAATGACCAGCATGAAGCTGGATGCAGAAACCCTCAACAAATAAAAACGGTGTAATCTTCAAGGCTTGGAAAAAAGTGCGAGAAGTTGGGGTTAAAATGGGTGGTAGTTTTCTTCAAATCAGGTACGCTGAATGGCCTCTTTCCATACTGTACCTTTTCTAAGGTGCTATTGAATACTGAGCCACGCTGACATAAAGTATCAAATGTCATGAAGTTAAATTGCTTCCATTCAATAGCCCGTACAGATTGTTTCAAACACTGTCATTGAATTAGTCTCATCATTTAAGTGTTTTTATCTTTTCTGTTAATGGATGTAAAATGTGATTTATGTGACAGAATCTATTTCAGTCTTGTGCTGCATATTTCTATTATTGTCTGTGAATCTTTGAATATTTATGAGTACTGTTGTTGTACAGCATCAAATTGAATGATTAAATTAGGATTGCGGATGGAAACAGTTGCTCCATTCCCACGATCAAAGGGCTACATGCAAGATCAGTAAATGAAGATTGAACATATGGAAAATGATTGCACATAGCGGAGTACCTTGTAGGCTTATGAATTGCACCGTACCAATTTAATCGATAGTGCTGCAGTAGGTTTCTGTTATTGGTTAGCAATGGCCTTTCTCTTCTATGGGTACGGAGGGTGCAATCGGCCTGCAACGGCTGGGGAATGTGGTGGGGCATGGATCTGTGATGAGCCACAGTGTCATGGGGCGTGGAGGTAGGCTAGAGCAGGAGAGAGGCCTGCATCTCGGTGGGGGCATTGGTTTGTAGCGGGGTCGATCGTGGTAGCAGGGTGGCCCTGAGGTGGGTGGGTGATGTATCTGTGACCAGGCAAGAGGATTAGTCCGTGACGGAGGAAGGTGATGGGCCTGCAGAGTGGTCAACCTGGGTGGTGGTGGGAGAAAGACATTGTGATGGGCATGGGCTTGGTCCAGAGCATATAGAAATGGGAAAGGTCTGCTTTGAATGTAACATAGAGGTGCATTAGAGACCTGATGAATAAGTCTTGCTATCTAATGGCTTGATGTTTTTTTTTCTGAAGGTTGGGATAGATGTTTTCATCACTTCTAGCAGTCTGCAGTAGTGAGCACTCTGTTCTTGGCTCTGAATTAACCTTTGTTGTTGTGAATCTAAAGGCACTGAAGGCAAGCTTGCCTTGCATGATTTTTGGACCAATTTTGTGCTGCACTAATATTGGCAAGATTATTTGAGTATTTGGTTCTATCTCTGATAAAAGGGGTGCATGCTACTTCAAGCGTTCTGGCAATGCAACTCCACATCAACAGGTAATGTCAATAGTGTGTTGATCACAGAATCCCTACAGTGTAGAATCAGGCCATTTGGCCCACCAAATTCAAACTGACCCTCTGAGGAGCATCTCCAGACCTGTCCCCTATCCTATAACACTGCATTTCCCACAGCTAATCCACCTAGACTGCACATCCCTGAACACTTTGGGCAATTTAGCATAGCCAATCTACCTAACTGGCACATCTTTGGACTCTGGGAAGAAACAGGAGCATCCAGAGGAAACCCACGCAAACACCAAACAGACAGTCGTTTAAGGCTGGAATTGAATCTAGGTTCCTTGCGCACTGACCCAACCTGCCACCTGGAAAGTGACATTGTGTCACCTGGAAGGGTTAAGAGACGTGACAGACCTGAGTCTAACCCTGTCCTCATTTATTGTCACAAAACATACTTTCAAAGTAGATTGATCTGGAGCATCAGTCATGGTTCATTTTCATTCGCTTCTTTAGCCCAGGACAATGAGACTAACTACAGAAATCACCATTGGTGTTGTAGTTAAAATCAGCATATAATACAAAACGGAACAATGTCTCAGTACCAGATCATAAGTCAATTACCCAAATGAGATATCAGAGGATCCAGAAAGATTATTTTAACTTGTGTCAATCAGTGATTGTCCCCATTCCTGACATACATCCACAAAAAGAATAAAAAACTTACAAATAATTAAAATGCCATTGTTTTCTGATGTGATGCAAATAGTACAATAGTAGGCATTGTATATAGTTTCATCTTAGAAACAGCTATGTAAAAATTACAGTGCTTTGAATGACTTCCGAAAACCATTCCACAGAATCTTTTATTAATTGAGTGCCTTGGGTCTGGAATCAGTACAATATAATGGACGAGAATGAAGCAAGTGATGCTAAAGGTCACCACTAAATTTTGTTCCAGCAGATTTAGTTGAAACCCAGTGGGCTGTATGTTGAAAGGACATAACAGTTTAATTTAGCAGTCTGGACTCTAAAAGACCTGAGTTTCTCTTGAGAATGAAAACCAGCTTTTAGACAGGAAGCTAATTTTCTAAGGAAACAAATGACAGTGCAAAGCCAGAGCGATGTTACGATGACAATTACCAACACAGAATTGCAATACAGTGGAAAACATTTCATCTTGCCTTGATGGAACAAATTCATCTACTTACATGCAATTGTTTTCAGAGGATTTTTTTCAGGGTGTTAGCAGATTCCAGGGTAAGGTGACACTATAACTAGTCTATAGTCACCCTACAAAGAGACACAAAGAGCCAGCTCTGCCCCCAGCAACCCAGTGGAGCAAAACTTTCAGTCACTGATTGCTAAGGACGTCAACCTTTTACCAAACTCCAACAAAGGGCCCCTTCTAATAAACAGTGTGGGTGACTTGTACCTGTAGGATGGAATTCCGGAAATTCTCAGAGTGACACCTTGCAACTCTGATGGAGCAAGCTAGAGGCTCTTTTTGGACAAATAATAACAAAATTTCTCTTCTCCCCGATTCACATTGTTTTTTACTCCTTACACTTTTGGTCACTGCACGCATGGGATGGGGCAGGATTCTCTTTGGAGGGTTGCTGCTGAATCGACAGGCTAAATGGCCTCACTCTGCACTGTAGGAATTTTATGATTCCATGATAATTTCCACCAAGGTTTAATAAATTAATTAACCCATCATATGCTGGTAGGCTACAGTACAAATCTGTGCCATTAGCTTTACAAAGGTGTCTTTGCATTTGCAATGCTTCTTTGCATTTTTCTCACATAAAATGTGGCTGGCATTTTTAAAAAGTGAATTTTATATGTACACAATATCCATATAATCTGTAATATTGTAGAAATACCTGTGTCTCTGTACTCACATTACTTTCACATTCTCACCTGGAAAGTTCCACTTGGATTGATGTTGATATTTGCATGCATCCACTGTTCCCCTTGGTTTCCGGACATAGTCCAGATGAGATTTTCAGTTACGGTTGATCCTTTGAATCCTTTGAATCGCAAAAGCACATTCAAAGTACCTGGAAAATAACACATTATAAAACAATTTCAATGTTGAACTGCCCTTAGAAACTGCCCAAGACTTTTCTGACAGGGATAAGTTAGCAAAGATTGGTGAGACACTCTATCATTTCTCATTAAACTTGAATTCTGAAAGATGTCATGTAACTAAAAATACCGATAATTGGGAAAGATGACAAGGATAAAAGTAGTTTCAGCTCCCCAGAGAATCAAGGCCCTTTGAATTGCTTCCACTATCACAAAATGATTTTGGATCCAATCCAAGATTAGCATTGACTATATCCAGTCTTACTTATATGCAAACTAAGTACACAGCCTCACAGGTAGCTTTCTAACAGGTATGCAGTCTACCTGGAAGGGTAAAGTATCTCAGACATTTAAGCAATAGGTGAAGTTAGTCGTTTCATACTGCTAATGCGTAACAATGTAAGTGGAGTTTGCCACAAACTAAATGTCGTCAAGCCAAAAAGATCTTCTCCATATCATCCAAATGTTTAATGTGCTGTATGAATTTCTGTGCTCATATGATGTTAGATATGTAGACTATATACCTGAAAGACTGGTGAACTGGTGGATTGTATCAACCAACATTTTCCTTCAGCTTTTTTCAAGAAGTGACTGTATATAACCAGCCCAGCTTGCAAAGCACATTGTCCACTGAGGTCAGTAGTGGGAACACATTGCCCACTGAGGTCAGTATTGGGAACACATTGCCCACTGAGGTCAGTATTGGAAACACATTGCCCACTGAGGTCAGTATTGGGAACTCATTGTCCACTGAGGTCAGTATTGGGAACACGTTGCCCACTGAGGTCAGTATTGGGAAC